GATTCCAATAGGACTTCTAAAAGCCCTAGGTTCTTATGGTTTTTGAACTATATTTTTCTAAAGAAATTGGGATCTTCTAAAAGATGTGATCAAAGGGATCAAATAATTCTTCTCTTCCACTCATATATATGAAGGTGTAAACGACACAGTTATTGTGCTAATTCAAAAAAAAACAAAGATTACAGACCAATATGAGCATGAGACGTGAGTTTAATTCAAAGACAAGACAATGAACCAATTAAGACTCTTATCTCTGATTTATTATGTACGGCTATTTTATTATGAGTAAAATGCATGCGGGATCCTCAAACTTGTAGATCATTCCTATCAACGTCCTCCAACTAAAAAAACAACTACCTAGGTCCCTGATCTATTATCGTTGCGCACCAAAAGTCTCAAACCTGCCACGCCAGCGCAAACAGCCGACGTGGCTGTGCCACAGTGGCAACTGTACACTGTGGCCATGCAAACTTTCCAAAAACCTCCTATCTTTCATGTCCTGAGCATGGCGGCCATGACCCACTCCAGGAATAGCGCCGTGCGTGCCACAGACACCACCGCCGCCGCCGGGACAGACATGCAGCGCCGCCTTTTTGTCGAGAAATAGCCAGAGCGCGAAAGCGAGCGGAAAAAGGGCCAAGGCGGAGCCGGTGGTGTCGTTCTTTGTTTGTCGCGGGAGGTCTGGAGGTGGCGTAACGCTGGCTGGAGCTCGGGCGGCCAGCAATTGCAAACCACAACGAGAACGAGCAAAAGGCATGGGAAGGGAGGGCATGCGGCGAGGTGGCCATGCGCGCGGTGGCTTTCGGGGCGCAGCCGCGGCAGACGGGTGCTGGAACCTCGTCGCGTTCCCAGATCTTCTCTCTGGCGTTCCGTGACGAGGGCACGCTGCCGCTGCTCTTGAATGCATCGAAGCTGCTGCCGGAAGGTGTTTACCACGATGGGGAGGGCGACCGCACTAGACTCGCCCAAATACGGCACCGTCTACATCCGTCGTCGATCTCGCAAACGCAGATCTCACAAACGCACAGGCTCTGCCTCCGCCTCGCCTCCCTCAGCGTCTCCCGCGGTGACATCGTGCTCTGCTCTCCTACCTCAACTCTCCGGGAGAATCTATTGCTGGATTCCGTCGAGGTGTCCGTGCTGCTTCGCAACGTGCCAGCCATGTATGAGATGCACTTTAGGGTGCCCATGAGGCAGCTCCAAGCTCGTCTTCGCCCGACGAGCCTGCCGCTGGTCCGGGACGTGTTGAGGCCGTGCCATAGTGGCAATTGGACAACGTGAACGTGCCAACTTTTCCAAAAAAACCCCTGCCCCATTTCTCTCTCTCACTTGCTGCCAGCGTAGCAACATAAGGCGCTAGCTCTATGCTCCTCCTCTCGAGCCTCGTGCGTCTTTCGCGGGTTAGGTGCCGCTGGGAGCACCGCATGTTGTTGCTGGCCATGGCTCAGATACTCAGACGTCGTGACGGCCGGCGCGTTCGAAGCCGCCGCTGCCGTCGCTTTGCCCTTGGCCTTGTTGGCGTCCGGGTCGCGCCGATGTTCAGCCCATTGCCGCTGCCGCCGCCATCATCGCGATGCCACAAAGGTTCACATAATCCCGCCCATGCAAGCCACCTCAGGCCAAACCAAGGACGCCTCCATCCATCCCCACTCCCGCGCGCACTTGCCGCACCCCTCCCACATCCGGAAGAAACACCGGAAAGGACGGTGGAGCAAAATCTGCACCGCAGCTTGCACACTGTCCCTGGTCGACACGGCGAAGTCGGCGGGCACCTGGACGGCTTGAAGCAAGTGGAGCAGACAATGAGCGGCGTGTTTTCAAAGATCGGCCTCGGTAGCAGCTGCACTCACGGCTTTGCCGTGGTGGCGGCAAAGAACCGTGTGATGATGGCATGGCCTACAGCACTATCCTCAGCCATGCCTGTCGCACGACACAGTATGGCCAGTCTCGCCGTCGAGAATGTTGAGCGGTATCATCGGCCGCCAGGAAGTTGAGCATGATGAGCACGCCCGCAGATGTGGTCGATCCTACGCGTCGCGATGGCAACGTACGTCAGCATCTCGGATGGCGTCGCGGTGAATTCCTTCTCATGGCGGTCCTCAACGGGGACGACGCGCGGCGCCCGATGCCCCCCGGGAGTTGCCTCAACACGTCCCGGACCAGCAGCAGGCTCGTCGGGCGAAGATGAGCTTGGAGCTGCCTCATGGGCACCCTGAAGTGCATCTCGTACGACATGGTCGGCACGCTATGGCAAAGACGGACACCTCGACGGAATCCAGCAATAGATTCTCCTGGAGAGTTGAGGTAGGAGAGCAGAGCACGATGTCACCGCGGGAGACGCTGAGGGAGGCGAGGCGGAGGCAGAGCCTGTGCGTTTGTGAGACTGCGTTTGCGAGACTGCGACCAGATGTAGACGGTGCCGTATTTGCGCCGAGCCTGGTGCAGTCTGGCCTCCCCATCGTGCAACACCTTCCGGCAGCATCTCAATTGCGTTCAAGAGCAGCGGCAGCGTGCCCTCGTCACGGAACGACAGGAGAAGATCTGGGAACGCGACGAGGTTCCAGCAGCACCCGTCGCCGCGACTGCGCCCCGAGGGTGCCAGCCCGGCGCGCCAGAGCATGGCCACCTCGCCAGATGCCCTCCCCTTCCTTCACGTGCCTTGCTCGTTCTCGCTGTGGTCGCAATTGCTGGCCGGCCCGAGCTCCAGCCCGCGTTCCGCCACCTCCAGACCTCCCCACGACAACAAACGACACCACCAGCTCCGCCTTCGGGCCCTTTTCCCCGCGCCTTTTCGGCCGGTTCTACGAAAAGCGGTATTTGCATGTCCGACGGCGGCGGCGGTGTGTGGAGAACGCGGGCGCTATTCCTGGAGCGGGTCATGGCCGCCATGCTCAGGACACGAAAGATAGGAGGTTTTTGGAAAGTTTGCATGGCCACAGTGTACAGTGCCACTGTGGCACGGCCACGTCGGCTGTTTACGCTGGCGTGGCAGGTTTGAGACTTTTGGTGCGCAACAAGATCAGGGATCTAGGTAGTTGTTTTTTTAGTTGGAGGACGTGGATAGAAATGACCTACCAGTTTGAGGACCCCGCATGCATTTTACTATTTTATTATTGTAAAACCGGCTTGAACTCTTGTACTCCCAAGAATAGTGTAACACTTTGGAAGAGATCGCAATGGATGAAAATTTGAAGGAAAAAAATTCACTTTTTAATATTGGATATAGATAATACATAGATGATGTTAACTAGTCTATCATTTAGCGCTAATGTTTTCTTTTACCGCTGCGTTCTTTCTCAGTCGCGTCGTACGAATTTATGCATTCGCCACTCCCAACATCTTGCAATCTGACCTTATCTCGTTCCTGGTCCTTTTTTTTTCCGTGGCTTCAATTTGGATTTCTCCGTTCCAAACAGAAACAGCCAATTCCAATTTCCAAACAGGCACCCTCGTGTCTAGTCGAATCGTGATTAGCAAAACCGCCCGTTTGGCTGGGGACAGATTACGGGTACCGAACAGCCGGGTTCCACCACCAACCCAACCGCGGGGGAAAGGGGGAAACCCTAGGGCCCGGAGCAGCGCTTGGGAACCGCGGCACGCGCGGCGTCGACGCCGTTGAGCTCGAGGCGACCGGTGGCTCGCGGCCCCACCGCTGCGGCTTCTTCTGGTTCCTGCGGGCTCAGCGCGGAGGTAACTACAACTTGCTCCCACCTTTGCCTTGTCCCTGCTCTTGCGGCCCCCGCCGTTTAGGTCGCCTTCCGGGCGGGTTTGAATCCGCTGGGACTAGATTCAGGTGGGTTAGTGCGACTCGATCCGGTGAGTCTCCGGATTCGACGCGTTGATGCTGATAAGCGTTTGCTGTCGAGGCGGCCGCTAGCTCTGTGCTCGTTGGTGATGTCGAATCTGTGGTTGCTGGATGTGGTTTTGTTCGCGCGGCATATACAACTTGTTCGATTAGCTTCGTCTCGGGCTTATGAATTGGACGCGTCTGTTCATGTGGATCTCTCTCTGTTGCTGATCAGTAGCAGGTGGAGTAAGATTTGTGCTTGGACGCTTCCAACGCACGCATTGGTTGCCTATGCTGCTCGACTCTATTCGTTCCTGTGATCTGAATTTCTGTCTTACTGAAACTTATCTTCTTAAGAAAGCAGCAATACTTGCTTATCTCTCTCTTTTGGTTGGGGTCTTGAGTGTTTTGGTGAGTATATCAGCTCGTACGCACTCACGAATGAAATGGAAGCGAGTATCAATGTGCTTATGTGTTCATCAATCATCAGAACACTAGAATTTTCATCTATTCTATGGTCGATTTGTTGGCAGCATAGTACAGAGCAACTTGCTCAAGCTTCCCTCCTATCAACATACTAGCTAGTCCTTGCAGCCACATGGCTTGTCGTGCTGCTGCCGTAGCTTCCATAAACCCAGCATCGCATGATGGAAGTGCGTCCTTTTAGGTTTAACTTTCCATAGCATCATGCAGGCAATGCTAAATATATGGTCTATAGAATGTTACTAGGTTCTGGATGAGACATCAGTTGAAGATAACCTTTTCTTTTGTACATTTTTGTTCACCGTATGTAAATGTATTGCATGGGAAAAGATATGCTAACATCGCACTCTGTCATGCACTCATGCTTCCTTCGCTTTTAGCATGAATGAATAGTTATATTTGTATCTTTCTTTCTCTGCTAGAGAGTACTGTTAGGTTCTGGTTTATATGTTAGCTGTCTTGGTACCAATAGAACTGACTTATTCCAACAAGAATGCCATGTAACCAGCCATTGACTTGATATAGAAGTGTTACGGTTCAATTGTGCTTGTGTTAGAATTTCAGTACTGAATTGAATGTGGGTCTTTTCTTTGTCTTTAGCATTTTATCCATTTTAGTTTTAGCTCCCTCATGGCCTCGTCAGAGAAATACAATAGATGTTTTCTGACCTATTGCACTTTTCTTTATAGGCCTATTGCAGGGTTAAATGGCAAATAGAGCAAGATGGATGATGAAGTACGAAAAGGGTCTTGTTGATATACTTCATGAGAACAATAATTCACATTATCGTACCCCAAACGGTTGGAGAACAGAGGGGTGGAGGAAAATTGTTAGGGATTTCACTGTAAGGTACCCTGAAGCAAAGTTTAGTAAATCGCAAATCCAGGAACATGAGACTCAATTGAAGAAAGACTATAAGGTGATAAAATCTGTCCTCCAACGTGATGGTGTCTCATGGGACCAGAGTGCATCCATGGTTAGAACAACAGATGAAGTCTGGGATGAGATAATTGAGGTGAGGGCGTAGTTCTTCTACTCTTATCACATATATATGCAACTGAGGTAACTTAAAATTCTTTTAAATTTTGTAGGATATGCCCAAGGCACGGAAGTACCAAAGCAAGAGCTTTCCATTGCTTGACTCACTTGAGCTGTTATTTGATGGTGAGCACTTCCATCCACCTCACTGGGCACACATGCATAACCACACTACCTACAGCTGGAAAAGGCTGAGGAGAAGAACTGTGCTATACACTGATACCTTTTGTTTTACTAAAATAAATATGTTACTGTGATAGGTCCTATTCCTGAAGGGGGACAGAAATCGCCTTCCAGCATACCTCAGAATGTTGGTGGAAATGTTGACGATGGAGGCAACAATATCAGCACAGTCCCAGGCTTGTCTGAAAGACCTAGTGGTAACACTAGCGTTAATGAGGCATGGAATAATATCAGCCTACTTCAGCAAACAGCATTAGGACCCCAAGGTATAGACGATCTCGACATGCTGCAAAATCGTGATGAAGAGGTGCTGGAACGACTACAGCATGGTGCGGACCCAAGGCCACAAAGAGCAGATGAACAGGCACAGTCAAGTTCTTGTGTAGAACTGCAGAGAGACAGGCGCAAGAAGCGGAAGGTCCTAGACATCCAGCAGATCATGGAGACCTATTTGAATTTCAGAATGAAGCAAGCTCGCGTCAAAGAACAAAGAGCAAAGGATGCTGATCAGTTCACGATTTCAAGCTGTATCAAGGCTCTGCACACCATGGCCGATGTGTCAGACGAGGTCAAGGTATTAGCCTCTGATGTTTTCAAGGATGCTGAGAACAGGGAGATCTTTCTCTCCTATGAACCCAGGCTGCGCACCTTGTGGCTCAAGAGGGAAGTTGGCAAGCTACTCTCCTGATAGTGGTCTTAGGTTGGTCCGTTGGTGTCGAGAAGTGGCAGCCCTTGCTTGTTCTTGTTTGTTGTGTCAGTCTGAATTCGATTCTGAAGGGAGCCATTGAAGGCATAGGCTTCATTAACAAACTCTATTAGTAACTTTTACTTGTGCCATGTGCAGTACGTCACTATGCTTCCTGAGATGTAGTCATTCAAGACCAATGATGTGCTTGCGGCGTGTAGTGCTTCCAAAACTTTGCATCTGTGCCAATACACTGTTGAAAAATGCGACAGAGTGCTTGTTTCTTGACAGCAGAGATTTGGGATTGCTCTCCCATTTTACTCGAGAAAAGAACCAAGGAATTATGTCCCAGAACGATAACTGAGCGTCACTAGGAGTAGGAGAGGTAAAACCACCATGATACCTGCCAGATAACAATGCAGATTAATGGATTGCAAACCATTGGCCCAAGATTTGCATTTTGAAGCTCATATGAATGAGAACAAGATTGCAAGAACAGGTGGGCGATGGCAATAATATTTTTCCCCAAATGCTCTTTAGGCCCCCTTTAGGTCCTTTTTATAGTATCGAAGAAATGCTACGATTTTACAAAGCACTTTGGTTTTCAAATGCTACGGGGTGTTTTAGATATAACAAATCTTGTTAGTCTCTAAACCCATAGTTTTGTCAAAACTAGTCTTTTAAAAGTTGTAAAAACTCCACTCACGACCTCTTTTTTTAAAAAAAAAAAATCATAGTTTTGTGTCTCTTTGGCTTATAAAACTGTAGTTTTGTGATACCACATTCTGTAGAGCCACTCACTACAATATCTTTCTCAAGCACAAAGATGATTAGCCAATTTAATCGGATCTGCTGAGACAAGAGCCATTCCATCATTCTAACAAATTGCTGCAAGGTCTGTCCGATCTACCTTGAGAAACGCAGGTGCCCACTCAGTTCATACCCGCATCAAGGAAAACACACCTGATCAAAATGGTTCAAGATTTGCAATGAATGAAAGAACCAATAGGTTACTCCCTCCGGTCCCAAATTATAAGTAATTCCAACTTTCTTGAAGAGTCAAGTATCTCAAGTTTGACCAAAATTACATCAAATAGTGTCGGAATGACTTATAATTTGGGACGGAGAAAGTACTTCACTGTTGGCGGCAACCAGGATTCCAGGACAAGCAGACACCCAAACATTCACAAACGAAACACAGCCCAGGGTGATGATACTTGAAAGAAACAGAGCCAACGCATGTGTTCATAAAAATTTTAAGACACACTTTTCACTCAATACAAACATAGTTAAGGCTAAATTTAAGTCTTATATAATATCTTCAAGATAAAACACTTTTCACTCAGTACAAAAACCATAGCTAAGGCTAAATTGAAGGCTTCTATGTCATTCACTAAACTATAATCTCTTCTCCAGCTAAATCAAATGGTCATGACAGCACCAAGCAAAGCTTTGAACTTTGAAGTTTTGTACCTCAAATCATGTGAGTCCACCAAACAAATTCTAGGTCTGCCAAATAAGTCAACAATTCAACATACAGGGACACTAGGTGTGATAGACACTGAATACAAAACAAATTGAAAAGCACAATTAAAAATTTATAATGCATATATGTAGCTGAACATGAATTATGGTGTCCAGACACAAAATCTCCATGCACACAAGGCCAAGCTAAAAAGAGTCAGACCACAGGGGGAGACGTCCACCTGATTTTGCCCTTAAGTTTGTGCCAGCCTTCGAACCTGGACTTGGTAAGACAGGGGTTTCTCAATACCCGGACTTCAACATATACCCGGACTTCAACAGTCTAACCAGTGTAACTCGGGAGAAGTTGGCAATGGCAACACCATGCCAAGCTCACATGTAGAAAGCTTGAACTGACAGTGTAATATGAGGTTAACAGGTAGCAAGTTCCTTTGATTGCCCTTCAGTCAGAAATAATCACTTTGTTGTTGTTGTCCTCAGTCAGCAATTTTAAGATTTGGTTGCATATTACTTTTTTATATGTTGAGTTCAAATATTTTGAAATGATGCACACAGATTTGTTCTGAAATTTAGTTTAGAAGAAGTATACTGTTGCTATATTCAACATATTAATGCAACAGGAAGTACTAGTCAAAGCTGAATTCTGGAGACCATGTTGATACCCAAAGTCACTAGTCAAATCGATAAGACATAAGGTTCATGGTTAGATACATGGATATACACAAAATACACAATGAACTAGAAGATCAGGCTAAGGAAGAAAAGACATAATATAATACCAACTTACAATATGATTTCATCCCTTCTTGCCTTTAGCAGAATAATAAGAACACGAAGACTGGTAAGTAGCAGTGAAATGTCAACTAAGATCAGCTCCATTTTAATGCTATGTGCAAAAGATCAGGCCCATAGTAAAAGTAGAGAAGCCCAACAAACAAACAATGCACAGTATTAGAACCTACACTCAGCAGATCAAATCAAGTACAACCAACAGATAAAGAGCATAAATAATAAATCCAAAACAAAGAATGAGATTGCAAATACCTAAATTTAATGGCTACAATTAAATAAACAACAGTTACCGCTCAAGTGCTCATATACTTATAGATATAAGGACATAACAGTCACCTTATATGGCATATATTATCTCACAAACTGTAAGCAACAAACAGTCCTCTCCAGCAACATATGCATCACATGCAACGGGAACAGTCTAAAAAAGCTGAGTTTCTGGACAAGTCTATATGGATTCAGCACCTATTCCGATATTCACATTTCTTTATATCAAAAGCAGACGATACGCAAAAAACGAGCATATCTGACAGTAACATGCAATGGGTAGAGCTACAACATAGAACTAGTATAACCCTGGCAGTCTAGTAACTTGGACCCATGCTACAAGAACGGGATAGCCGCCTTTCCATCTCTCGTCCAGTCCCAACTGCTGCTTTTGCGCCACCTCCACCGCCTTCTGCTGCAGAAACTGTGTTGTATTGCTTCCTGCAACCTGGGCAGCGCCCATCTTCCAACTTGATCCTGTTGTGGCAGAAGAGGCACATGTGAAACCCACAAGGGCAGGGGCAGAAGCTCGAATCCGTCGGGTCAAGATCATCGCAGCAAATGGGGCATGACAGCGGCAATGAAAGAATTCCCTGCTGTACAGCACTCATTTCCATCTCCGGCCAGCGGTTACCAATGCTTGCTGGGAAGCTGGCCTGCTTGGATATGCTGGGTAAGCTCTGTGGTCGAAATATGTCATCTGGTGCCCAAGCCCTTGTCTTGCTTCGAATCGGTTCTGGTCTCGCTGCATGGGCAGGTGCTGCAGTGGTCAGAGCTGGTGGGGGTGTCGGCATGGGACCTGAACTCTGGTTACAAGAACTGTCATCGACATAAAGCGCATCAGCAGCCATTTCCCAATCATCGAAGACTTCACTCTCATCCTCAGGGCCGCCTGTATCCTCCTCAGCATCACTCACACTCCTTGAGCTGGACCATACACTGCTTCCACTGCTGAGGCTGCGGCCACCGCCATTGCCAGAGAACCCCTTCCTCTGAGGGCAATCACCACCTTGGGACTTGTCTGAGCCTGGGGAGTCAAGGCCACTGCCGTCTACCTCAAGGCCAGCAGCACCAGCCTCCTCCCTGTCCTCCGGATCACTACCCCTTGATCTGGAATCAACCCGGCGACGAGGAAGTGGAGGGTGCGGGGAAGCAAGGATGGGTGAGCCAGCATTTGAACCTGCTCCTGTTGGCGAAGTTGCAACCTTGGCATCATTGCCATCATTGCCTGGACCAATCCAAAACGAAAGAATATATCAGATTTTAAACGAATCCACAACAAAAAAAAAACTTAAACTTTACAGCTAAATCACCCCAATCAACAAACAGATATATATCATTCAGAAGTAGCACCTGAAAAAAAAATCCACAACTATGTCTCAGAGAAGATCATAACGTACTTCTCACAGAACAGATCATAACTTGTATATAAAACCTTGATCCGACACATGGAGAGATCAACGACGCATGGAGAGATCAACTCCCGCATACACACCACTGCCACTGCCACTGACGAATCCCCAATACAAAGACCGAAATCCCCAAAATCACAAACACATATTAATACAACGCACAGACCAGGCATGAAATCAGACCTTGCCCCTTGGACAGAAACTGCCCGCGGCGCGTCTCGCGCTTGCTCTGCTTCAGCTTCGCCGCCGAGCGGTTCCCCTGGAAGGCGCACCCCGGAAAAAAACACACAGAACTCAGATCAGATCAGCAAGCGGCGGAATCAAATCAAATCCAAACCAACCGGGAACCCCTCGCCCCGAATCGAACCAGAGAGATCACCCCGACCCCAACCCCAAAGGCGAACAACCCCTCTTACCCTCTTCTTCTTGGCGTCGCGCGCGGCGGCCGCCGATGCGGGCGATGCGGCGTCGCTGTTCCCCATCACGCCTTTGTGGTGAGTGGCGGCGGCGGACTGCTGCGCGGCTGCCGGCCGGGACGGGCTCGTCGACGCGCGTGCGTTAGAGGGGAGCGAGGGGACGGGGGAGCAGGAGGAGCGAGAAAACCCTAAAAAGCGATGCGGCGAGCGGCGAGAGGGAGGCGGAACGATGGGTGGATAGATAACACGCACACGAGGGCGGGGCGGAGTTAATGGAAAGAGAGGACGAAAGGGAGACGAAATCTGTTGGGCCTTTTCGTTTGGCGTCCATTGCAGTTTTATTGATCCACAGCTGCGCCAGGCAAATGACGGGATTACCCTCAGCTAAGAGTTCCAACAAAAGCCCTCAAATTTTGTCTCCCTATATTCCTTCAAATTCTCCCTATATTCCTTCAAATTCAAATGAGAGTCCTTGACCATATTTCATCCTCTGTTTCTCAGCGCACTCTAACCAATCTTCTAAATTTTACCTACTTTACACTTTGTTGCCATGAGCTCTGTTCATTGTTCCTATTTGTCAGCTTTATAAAAAGAGAGAAATGAGTAGAGGGAAGGATCAGGAGCTCCTACATCTGAGGTTCATAAGAGAGAAATGAGAGTACATCATCCATCAGGGCTTAAATAGTGACTTAGTTGGAGAGATTTTCATGTGTTTGAGTTCTCAAAAACAGGACAAAGGCTCAAGTAGGAGCTTAGTTGGAGTTGCTCTGAGGCCTTATTCGTTTCATCCCTAAAACCAGAGAATTGGTTTGGGTTAGAGGGGATTGGAAATGATTTTGATCAGTAGGGGATTTAACCCCTCAATCCCTCTCAATCCCCTCTGTCTTGAGAGAAAACGAACAGAGGGACGGTGGCGTCGGATCGAGTCCATCGAATCTATGAGTGTTGAGTTTCAAAAAAAATCTATAAGTGTTGCTGCGTTTTTTTAATCTTTACTGGCAGATGTACACGCGCATTGCAATGGAACCTAATACTATAAAAGTTAGACTCAGTATCATCCCTAGACGTGAGTTTTCAGCGTAGTTCATGAGTTCTGGTCACATACAAGATACAAAGGGCGCGGCCCAATAATATTGGAAATGGATCTTATATCTATCATCGCTAGTCGTAAGTTATTCTAACTCATATGAGTATGGGTCATAAGTTCGGATCAAATAAAAAGACGGGATGAAAGAAAATCTCCACTTAGGTAGAGGTGGATGAAAAAATAGAATGAAATATTGGCTAAGACAGAAAAAAACTCTCTATTATTAAGGTAACTAGGGGAAGTTGGATGAAAAAAAAAAAAACTTAGGTCTTAAATATTATAGTTATATCTATCTATATCTCTTATAATCCTAAATCCCACTAACCATCTATCTTCACATGCAAGCTATCCACCTCAGCAGTCCACTAGCATATATATAATACAACTCACTAACACATATATTTATGATATCCATGTCATCGAGACAAATCATCCTTGTGACTTGCGTTTAGCTGTCCACATCAACATGCCACATCATTCCTTTATATAAGTAGTTGTATATAGTCTAATTTTATTCTAAGTCATCTAAATTTCTCGTAGCAACACGCGGGATATGCTTGTAAGATTACTCTTTTGTGTTGGCTCACGGTGAACGTTGTTTTCTTGTTGTTTTTATGAGAAAAAAGGCGTGGTAACGTGCGCCGCGATTGCGACGTCGCGGGCCGTTGCGACCATCCATTGGTAGATGTCCGGCACCGAGGATTTTGAGAAGAGCATCGATTCCGAAGGGGACGTGAGTCGGAGAAGGTGCTAGAAGGTTCAGGTCCTGCTCCACACGTGATTAAGCGACGTCAGAGCTTATATCTGATTTTTTTTAAACGTAAAGAGCTTATATCTTAATATAGGAGGAGAAAAGGACTAAAGGAGTACTCCCTCCGTCCCATTATATTTACACATCTAAAATTATGCACGCATACCAATGTTATGTATAAAAATACAAAATTGCTCCTACTTCTATATAAGTCAGTGACATTCTGTCACCCGCGGACCCGCACCTCTTCGCGCACGCCTACTGTGCGGTCTACAGGCAAGGGAAATGGAGAAGACACGGGGCCTCGGTATGACCAAACAAGTGGTCCAAAGGCTTCCACGTACTCTCTGTCATTTTTCCTTTTTTTTCTATGTCCATTATTTTATTTTGTTGCTAATCCTTACAGCTAGTCAGCTAGCAGCTTTAGGCTGCTACAGACCCTACTAGACGCTATAGTGACCTTCTATTGTGGGAAAAAAATTAAAACGTAGAAGTGCGATTAATCGGGGACGGAGGGAGTAGCAGATATTTTTGTTCTGTTGACGAAGGGTTATCTTTTCCTATGGTCAAGAAAGATGGAGATGCAGGCTTCTCGAGCAAGGTTTGGGAACATACACTGTGCCTGTCATGATGAACATGAATATGAATATCTTTTTTTTTAACACATGAATATGAATATCTGAAAGTACAAGATGCCATTTGTAATCTATAAGGTGCCAGCTTGCATTTATATTCTTTCAGGCCCGCACGACGAGTCCAGACGTGCTCAGTCAGCCATACGTCATCAACAGACAGTTTAAAAGAACGACAAGTTGGTCAGAGAAGCCTGTGTTGCTGTTGCCACGGGTAGCCGAGTGGTGCCAGTTACGGATAGACCGCGTTCATGACTTCATCTCACCCTCATCGACCAGGACCACTACTTCATCTCACCACTGCCGACGTTTGCTCCCGCTGGTACCAGTGCCGCTGCTGCTCTGCCTCTGCATCAACGTGGCATCAAAGGCACGTGAAAATGGGTTCCATTATCCGACCCTACCACCTCATAATTCTGGAAGGCAGCATGCCCTTCCCTGCAGGAAGTTTCTGTGCTCCTACATCAGGACAGTCAGACAGGAGAAAGAGGCGAGTATCACCCATTAAGATTTTCCTTTCGATGATTGCCCATTAAATTGATGCAACAGAATCAAGTGGTGAAGAACCAAACCAGCAGCTACAGAAGATCAATCATGAATGATGCTAGTTGATCGTCAGGAATGCAGGAACGCGTGGACGAATGCTTAAGAAATCAGAGATGATTGTGATACTGTCGTGGGTTCTGACTTCCTTTATGTCCCCTACCATTTACATACGCTCTTCGTGTTTTGTCATGACTCACAAGGACTCTGCAAAATGCATTTCCCTGATTATCCGAAGGCAATATTTAAATTAGCAGTTAAAAGAAATAGCAGCCATGCCAAACAATGTATCACGAGGAGAAAAGTATAGGGTAAACTGGATGCGGCCATAACAAACAATGCATCACACGAGAAAAGTAACAGGGTGAATTGGATTTGCAACTGAACCTGGAGAAGTGTTCGCTCCACCACAGCACCATGTCTAATCTGCCCATAAATAGTGTAAATAGCGTAAAAAAAAACTTGAGCTTATTCAGCACTACTTTTCAGCCATGGAACAGTGTTTTCCTCTCACAACATTTCAGCATAAGCATAAGCATAAGCCAAATTTCAGCATAAGCGAACAGGGTGAATGAATCAGATAAGGAAGCTATGAGGGTTACAGATAGAATATAAAAAAAATTAGACCCACGGGCAGAACGAAGTTACCTTATCATAAGCAATCGTGTACACAATTTCAGGTATGTGTCATTCTTTTGCAACTGACAACTGTAGCAACATAATACTAGCTCAGTACTTCTTGCAGAAAATTGCAATAGTGACACTGGCACCATAATCATGACAAAAATGTAGCAATCAGTACTTCTTACAGCAAACTGCAATAGTGACATTGACGCTATGATCATGGCCAAATAATATCGACCAGTGGTGCTTCTTCAGCCTGCATCATAGCGAAATCTACTACCTTGCATCTACTATGCCACAGCCAGCCTGGCACACAGGTCTATTATGTGCACAATCACAACTTTAACCGAGCAATTTCCACTTCTATTTAAATTAGCAGATTGTGCATTCTCCAAAATGCAGCACGGTCACCTGTTTTATGGCCTTATAATGTAAGCATTCACATATATTGCTTCCGAGACAGTTAGCCATTTGGCCTCAAATCCCGACAATCTTACTTTATGCCATTCAAATCATCCATATGCCCAGATCTTCCAAGCATTTACCTAAGATTAGTGCTAACAAACAAATAGTTTCATCCATCAGCAAATTTGTACTTCTGTCTATGAGACCACTATCTGTTTTGCAAAAGAATGTAGTTATGAGTTCAGAAAGAGCATAACTGAAATTGAAGTCACCCACAATAATCAACTGCACTCCAACCTACACCTTTTTGAACTCCATGATTCTTCATCGTTTCTCTTAGTTTCTCTATCTCATCCCATTTTTTAGCACTGCCATAAGAATTAGATATTAAAATGTAATGTCCCTCATTTTCTGGGTCAGAAGCAAATGCCTTTTTTGCAATCCTTAAACCCATCTCAAAGTTGTCATGCAATTTGCAGGCACTAAGCAAAGTTCCCCAAATCCCGCCATCAGGTTCTACTGGCATGGCTAAAACCATATCTTCTGCTTCTTGGAGATGCCCAGATTTCCCAAGGAGATCCACCATGCAGGCGTAATGCTTCAGGTTAGGCTCAAGTGAGTATTTTCCCATTCTTGTGAACAGCTTCCTGCCCTCCTCAAGAAGCCCTGAATGGCAGCAAGCAGATAGAATAGCAAGAAAGGTGACACCATTAGGCTTAATACTTCCTCCTTCCATCTTACCAAATAATTCTAATGCTTGTTTTGCTTCCCCATGCATCCCGTACCCTGATATCATAACATTCCATGCAACAACATCATGTTGAAGCATAGAATCAAAAATCCTTCTTGCAATTCCAAGCTGCCCACATTTAGCATACATGTTCATAAGTGCTGTGTTGATTGATACATCGTAGTCCCACCCCATTTCTTTAACGTAAGAATGTATCTTCTCTCCACGTTCCAATGCAACCAAGTTTGCACAAGCTGAAATGACAGTGATCAAGGTTGTTGAGTTGGGTGTCAAGCCTTCAGTGAGCATTTGATCATACAGTGACACCGCAGCATTTGAATGTCCCAGATGAGCATAGCAAGATATCAGTGTATTCCATGTGACAACATCCCCCTTCAGTTTGGCCAGGCCAAATATTTTGCATGCATGATCAAACTTTCCGCACCTCCCATACATGCCAATTAAAGCATTTGCAACTGATGAATCCTCATCAAGCAAGTGCTTGATTGAATAACAGTGTGCTGATCGACCTAGTCTTAGTTCCGCTAGCTGTGACCAAGAAGAGATTGCAGAAACCAAGCTGTTGGTACCACACAGGAATTCATACTTATCTCTGAACTGCATCTCACGATACAGCTCCAAGCATTTGACATCACATCCAGCTTTGCAATATGCTACAATCATCAAGTTCCATGAGTCCGCATCTTGTTGACGCAACAATCTAAAAACTCTGCCTGCATTGTCCACCAATTCAAATTTTCCATACATTGATATCAAAGCATTTCCAACCAAAACACTATCTCCAAAGTTTCTCTTCGTTATAACCGCATGAAATGCCTTCCCTCCGAGTACATTGTCACTGTTACCCAACCCAGAGAGCAGACAACTAACGAGAACCTCATCTGGCTGCAGTCCTGACTCCCTCATCTCCTGGAACAACTCCATAGCCTCCCTAATAAGCCCTCTCCCGCAGTATATTCCAATCAATCTTGTCCAGGAAACCACGTCTTTCTCTGGCAACTCTGGGAATAAAGTGCATGCACCCTCAGTGCTTTGACACTTCGAGTACATAGAGAAGAGGGCAGAAATTACCAAGGGGGAATCGCCAACCCCGACCTTCACTACATACCCGTGCAAGCATCTACCAGAGTTCAGCTCATCTAGCACCCCGCACGCCACCAAGCCACTCTCCATCGTCCGTGAGTTTGGCCTCGCCTCGCCATCACCTGCAAGCCTGACCATCTCTACCAGGTAGCGCAACCCATCCCCACTCTCCCCGTTCCGCACACACCCTGATACCACCGCGGTCCACGCGACCACATCCCTCTCGGGCATTTCCTCGAACACCTTCACGGCGTCTCCGACGACGACACACCTAGCGTACATGTACACCAGAGAAGATGCGACGGCGACGGAACCGCCATCGCCTACGAGGAGGCCGTACCTGACGCAGTACGCGTGCACGGAGGCGCCGACGCCGAGCGCGCCGAGCTCGGCGGCGGCGGAGGCGGCGAGCGGCGCGGTGAAGGGGGAAGGACGCGCGCCAGAGGCGAGCATGCGGCGGTGGGCGGCGAGCGCGGCCACGAAGTCGGAGACGCAGTGGTGGGTGCGGATTAGGGAGTTCCAGAGGAATGCGTCGGGACGAGGAGAAGCCGAGTAGGCGGAGACGAGCTTTGCGGCGAGGTCGGGGCGTTGGTAGAGGCCCGAGGTGACGGCGAGCGCGTGGACGCGAAGTAGCTCGGGCACCGGCGAGGGAGACGGCGACGGGAGGAAGCGGGAGAGGATGGCAAGAGGGGTCGCGGCTTGGGGCGGCGGCATTTGATCGCGCGTTCGAATAGTTCAGCCGCCGTGCAGACTGCACTTTAGCCAGGGGCCCGTTTAGTTCACCCCAGAGTTGGCGCCGGCAGAATTCGGTTGACACTGTAGCGCACTGTAGCGTTTTGTTTTTATTTAGTAATAATTATTCAATCGTTGACTAATTAGGCTTAAAACGTTCGTCTCGCAAAGTACAACCAAACTGTGCAATTAGTTTTTGATTTCGTCGACATTTAGTACTCCATGCATGTACCACAAATTTGATGTGACGAGGAATCTTCTTTTTGCATAGTGCCAAAGTTGGGAGTTTTGATGAACTAAACAAGGGCCAGAATTCAGAAACCGGTGGTCAGCCTCAGATAACAGCATGTTCGGTTGGTCGGTTCATATCGCTGCTGGTTCGTGAAGAAGTACTGCTCTCTAGTTTGTGTGAGAGAAAAATACTGTTCTAGCTGAAAATTTACAATCGTTTACGACAAGTCATAACCAAACGAACAGGCTGATAGTCATACGTGGACTTCGATTCAAAGTAATGTATTTTGATAATTTGATAGCGTCCGAACGTCTGGAGAGAAGCGCATGTCCGGACACACGCACCTCCTCTGTCACGCGCGCCCGTCGCTCCTTCTCTCTAACCCCATCCCCGGCCCTGGCTCGCCACGCCTCATCCCCCGACGTCTCAGCTGTGCCCCATGACTCTCTACCTCTGAAATATGAAACATGTGGATGTAACATACGACTGAATCAAATGAAACATACACTTGAAACATGTGTGTGAAACATATGCAAATTTTAGATAAAACAATTACGGCTTGCAAACATGAAAACATTTATTGCAACGTACCTTAGTTGTTTACCCTGTTATCATGTTTAGTTCTGTGTCGTTGTGTAAGCATGTTAGGCCAGTTCATCTGGTTAGGTTTGTGAGTCCTCTGCTTCCTCTGTTCCCATTGTACCTCTAGTTCGGTTTGTAATCCTTGTTTTAGAATGAATCACAATCAAATGCGCTTCGCTTACTCCATGCTCTCCTGGAACGTTCGTGGTCTCGGCCAATCTGAAAAATGTGATGTTGTCCGTGATGTAATATCAATCTCGCACCCTCACATTGTGTGTCTTCAGGAAACGAAGCTTGACACCCTGACCCCGTCAAGAGTAGATTTTTCCTTACTCCCCCTCTTACCTATTTCCTCACTGTCCCAGCAACAGGATCCCATGGCGGCTTGATCATCGCCTGGAACCCTCCTGTCCTCTCCATAGGGACACCTATGCTGGGCACCTACACCCTCACCATCCCCTTCTCTTCTACCACCGCTGACTACACCTTCCGTCTGACCCATGTCTATGCCCCCTCTAACCACAGCGAAACTGGCGCCTTCCTATCTGAACTCAGACATATCCATCCTCCCTAGGAATACGCCTAGGTGACCATTGGAGACTACAACCTGACCCACTCCCCCGCTGATAAGAACACACGGGTTTCAATTGGTCGTTGGCCAATAGGTTCAATGGTCTCATCGATGAGCTCGGCCTTGTTGAACTCCCCCTGCTCGACAGGCTTTACACTTGGAGTAGCAAGAGGGACTCTCCTACCCTGGCTCGTCTGGATAGAGCGTTCGTTAACACTGAGTTCTGCTCTAGGTTTCCCAACACCTCCCTCTCCTCGCGCCTAGGCAACCCCTCCGATCATATCCCCCTCTTGGTGACCGTTCCCACCTCCATCCCTAAGGCTCACCTTTTTCCGTTTCGAGAACGCTTGGCTGAAAAACCCTGCCTTCCTCCCCTCGGTCCTGCCTGCCTGGTCGCATTGTTGGACGAATGCTACTGACGCTGCCGGTGCCCTGGTGGCACGGATCAAAGCGGCCAGACATGCAGCTAAACTCTGGGCATGCAAACACCGTAGTCCACCTGATATTTTCCACAACTGCTCGTTTCTAATCCTACTCTTTGATATGTTCGAAGAGTGGAGAAATCTTTCTGCAGGTGAACGATGTCTTCGTCAGCTTTGCCGCGACCGCCTAGCGTTGTTCATCAACCAACGCGCTGCCTACTGGAAACAACGCTGGAAGTTTCGCGCCCTCTAGGAAGGCGATGCAAACACCAAGTTTTTCTAGGCGAGGGCAACAACAAAAGCGCGGTGCAGTCAAATACACCACCTGGAGATCAACGGTGCGACGCTGATTGCACACAGCGACAAGACGACAGCTCTCACAGATTACTACACCACCATCCTGGGGAGAGTCATCGTCAGCTCCTGGGGTTTCAACCTCTAGACGCTCTACTCTCATGTTGATCAGGCCGAGGAGGCTCCACTGATCGCCCCCTTCTCTAAAGGCGAGGTGAAACAAGCGATCCGCAACATGAATTCTACCAGTGCCCTGAGACCGGATGGCCTTGGTCCCAGCTTCTATGCTGCTACCTAGGACACAACCAAAAGGGCTATGATGGAGTTCTTACAGGCTTTCTACTGTGGAGCCATGGACCTGGAGCGCATCAATAGGGAAGTGATCGTCCTCATACCCAAAACAACCCCAGCACTCACCCCAACGCTTTTCGACCGATGTCATTATAGAATTGTCCAGTGAAGATTCTAACCAAGATCCTGACCACTAGACTCTAGAACCAAGTGCCCAAGCTGATTGATATTGATCAAACAGGGTTCATCAACGGGAGATCCATCTCTGAGAACTTCATCTATGCAACTGAGCTGGTACAGTGCTGCTACAAAAGGAAAGCCCCTACACTCGTCATCAAGCTGGACTTCGCCAAAGCATTTGATTCTATCAACTGGGATAGTCTAGATGCAGTTCTCCATGCCCGGGGTTCCCTGTTTTGTGGAGAAGATGGATGCAGCAACTACTAGCGAGTTCACGGTCTGTTGTGATGGTCAATGGGATTCCTGGTCCATGGATACAATGCTGCCGAGGCCTCTGTCAAGGTGACGCCCTTTCCCCATATTTATTCTTGTTAATGGCTGATGTTCTTCAGAAATTGATCAAGGCAGAAGGCAACATCGGACACCCGCTCATGGAAGGGCCCTGCCCGGTCTTACAGTATGCGGATGACACTATCATCCTCATATGGGGTGACTTGGAGGATGCACCCAAGCTGAAGCAGACACTGGACCTATTCTTGGCAGCGACAAGCCTTGCTATCAATTTCCACAAAAGCACTGTCACCCCTATGCATATACAGAGAGAAGCACTTCAGGATATGATGCAGGTCCTCCAATGCCAGGAGGGCTCTTTCCCTCAGGTTAACCTTGGCCTACCCTTGTCCAATGTTAAGCTGTGGTTTTCGGCTTTTGCCCCCTGATTGCCAAAGCAGATCGGTACCTCACAGGATGGAAGGCCACCTGTAACACCCTCGGTGTTACACCCTAAATAAATTACTAAACCATATCATGAGCATCATGTTTGTGTGATAATGCATTTGATGGAATACGTGGATAAAATTTTTGGAACCTAAGATGATCAATAAAAATGCTAAATAAGAGGCTATTCCATAACCCATGTATATCAAGTAGGGTTTAAAACCATTTTTTATTGAACAAAAATACTATAGAACATATATATAGCATTTAAATAAAGTTTGGAATATGAACTTTGTAGATGACAATGAAAGCCTTGCTGTAGAAAAATAACATTGTTAGCTAACATTTTGATAGCCTAAAAATGGAACTTAAAATCAAAATTCAAGACAACAAAACAATGCCATGTTTGGGAATTTATTTTGTGAAATCGAGATAAGAAGTGGTGTCGTGTTTTAGCTCGAGTTAGTAGCCTGATAAGCCCTCTGGAGCATGGTGAAGGTGGTTTGATTCCTAGAACAACCATTTAGTTTTTATAGATGATTTAAAATTCATGCACGACATGTTCTCAGGCTGGTTCGTCGGGTGAGCGCGATCACCACGCCCGGCCGCACGGCGTCACGCGCTGGTCGCGCGCGCTACCTCGCGTGGCTGGCCTCGGCTGCTCTGGCCTGGCTATGGCCTGGCCGCCACTGGCCTCTGGGGCGCGGAGCCACCGCCGCTGCTGCTTGCGCAGCCAAACGGTACTACCGTCGGCCCCGCCATGCTGTCGCATTGCCAACCCACCCCGCGCCGCGACGCAGCCACTGTCGGTGCCATCGCCTCACCAACACGTCCGTGCTTCTCTCTGCACCTCTGCGCCGTTGCTGGCCCAGTTCGAGGCTGCCACTGCAGCGCACGTGGCCGAGCTCACTGTCGCCTTGCCATTTATGGAGCTACACAACGCAGGCCCTACTGGTCGTGGACGCACGTGCTTGTCCGTAGCGTCTACGTGTGTGCCTCCACGATCACGCTGACTGCGTCCCGCCAAGGCGAGCCCAAGCTGAGCCCACCTATCGCGCCCTATCTCTCTCTCTCTGCTACCGCCATCGAGGCACGCCATCAAATTAAGCATCGAGCGATCACCTACATTCAATTCAGCGCATCCACAACTTCATCATCAAGTTCTCTCACTGCCTGACCCCACCTAGCCTTAAACCGTGCATGGCCAAGCTCCAATTTGGAACTTTCCCCGCCGTCGTGCCGATAAGGCCGCGCTCAGCCATGGCCGAGGGCAGCCCTCACTTCACCCTGAGCCAATTCCTGTGCACCACTAGATTCGCCTTCATCTCCTCTTCACCCTGCGTGCCATAACCAAACCTCTACCACCTCTCCGTCGTTGCTGACGTGACCATGCCACCACGGTGCGCCGCCACATGGCTCGGCCGCACATGGCCAGCCCTTCTCCGTCATCCTCCGCTCCAACCGCCACCTCGTTCTGGTCCACAGTAGCCTCCTGATGCTCGCGCGCTAACCAATTAGGTCTGTAGCTGCCCTAGCTCGCCGAAACAGTGGCACTGCTATTGCAGATGGCCGTGCGCCGCTGTAGCCTTCCCCGGCAAGTCATGTTACCCCATACCACCGCTTAGCATAGCCTCTCGGGTCGAAGATGGTGACCGATCCGTTAGGAGGGTCGGCGCAGGTCCCTGGTGGCTGG